AAGCGAAGCTTCCGTAGCTACTCCATTGTTAACGTTTAGAACCTATCTGTCCCCTTGATTCTCTCACTACCCCCACCAGAGGGCAAACCTCTGGGCATCTGTGAGATGGAAAGACCTGCAAAGAGCTGGAAAGGGCTGGAGGTGGCCCTGGGTAACTCTTGGGGCAAGTCCAGTTGTGCAGCTGCAATAGGGGATGTTGAGGGGCCAGTGATGGAGTGGCTGCATTGTCTGTGAAGGCAGGGAGTGCCAGCACCGTGGAGCATATAGACCTGATCTAAGATTTACTGGGTGCGTTACTTCATTTTCTCATCTGTAAAATGGGGTTAAGAAACTTACCTCCAAAGCCTGTTGCGAGGATTAAATGGGCTGATAACGAATAAAACACTCAGCATGTTGCCTGGTACACAGTATGGACTCAGGATATGTGAGCTGTTGCTGCGGTGGCTACTCTGCCACCAGGTAACCTTCGCAGCCGTCTCATCTGGCTCCAGCAAAGAGAACAGGCCCTTCAGCTTACTTCCCTCTGTTCCCGTCATCCTGAAAGCTGCTACCAGACGGGATTTCCAGGAGCTCTGCCTTTATCATGGATTCAGGCTCTGCTCTTCCTTGCTATATGACAGTGTCACTTTTCGTCTGTGACTCTCAGTTTCCTTATCTACAATTGGGGCCTGAACTAGGACAATCACTGTTCGTTCAAAAGCCTCATGGCTGTCTGCCACTCACGGAGTTCGTGCCAGGTGAGGGATGTGCACCTTAAGGCCCACTGTGGCCTGGAGGCCGGACCCTGCCAGCACACTCCCAAGCCTCCAACCAAACCAGATTGCCAGCTGCCGCCAAAACAGCCTGGTTGCCCTAGCGCTGCACTTTTGTTGTTGCTGTTCCTGCCACCTGGGCCATCTCCGTGTCTTGTCATTGCCTATGACAGTCCTGTCTCTCAGTGAAGAATCAATCAACACCCCCAGCCAGAAATGCTCACTTTTCTTAACTGCCCCCTTGTAGAATTTTCTGTTGTTCTCTGTGGTACCTACCAACTCACACTTTGATTTGTTAGTTGAATACATGTTGCAGACTTCTTTCTCTCCCTGGATTGAATACTCCTTGAAGGCAGGGACAAAGTCTCTTTGATAGTCACAGCTTACATCTCTCTGTAGCTTCCATTAAGCACAATGCTTTGTATACAGAAAATGCTCAACTGAAGGAAGGAGGAGATAGAAGGGAGGAAAAACCTCCCATTCTCTTTGCAACCATGTTGGGCCCAGCTTATACCTTCAAGCCATCTGCCCCCCAGGCAGCAGAGATGGAAGAAGGTCAACTCTTTGTCACCCTTCCATCCTCTCTCTCTCTCTCTCCAAAAGCCATTGTTGCATTTCAAGGTAGCACATGGCAGACAGGTGCACGGGTAAGCACAGACCCAAACAGATGAAGGAATGAGCATCCATAGGGTCTCCAGAGAACAGCATCAGGAACCCAGTATGTTAAAAATGACTGAAAAATGGTGTGGGAGCCACAGACATGCTGAGCTGTGGGCTGGGAGGTGGAGGAGGTGGTGACTCAGGAATGCTCTAGTACAGGCGGCTGTAGGGGAAGCTGGGAGAAGTACAGCAGGGCACCAGGCTTCCTAGCTCTGCAAACTTGGTGGGCAGGGGTAAGGTGCCAGGGACTGCCCCCTGTGCCCAGTCCAGCTTAGAACTCAGGGCCTGTCCCTGGTGGGCCATCCAGGTCTTTAGGGCCAGCCCCTACCACCAGTGAGCTGCCCCCCACAAAGATGGTGATGGGTGTCAGCGTTTCATGTAAATGTGCCTCCTCTCTGACTCCCCTTCTCTCTCTCTCTCCAGCTGCAGTAGAGTCACCTGGGCAGCAGGATAGTTTGGGCCAGGGGGCCCTGACCTCTCAAGGGTGTGGCCACACTCTGCTTGCTTCTTCCTGTCCAGGTAGTGGGGTTCCCAGGAGTAGCCTGCACACAGCCAGAGCCAAGGAAACAGATCTCCCTCAGGCTGCCCCTCCTCAGCCTGCGTCTCATTCATCAGGCTCACACGGGCGGCCCCATCTGTCTTTATGTTTCCCTGGGTCGAGAGAGAATTGCTGGACTTGGCTCGGGGGAGGCTGGGGTGTGGAGGCCCCCAGCACTTAGTGGCTCCTGGAGGCCTGGGCTTTGTCCATGGGAGTTGGAAGGGAATGGACTTTTTGTCTGGCCCTCTATAGTGACAGGCAGGCCCTTGCTCCCGTCTTGGCCCAGGGCTCTGAGCAGCAGCCCTGTTCCCACACAAGCTGTGCAACAGCCAAGGCTCTGCACCCCTCCTCTCACCCCCCACAGTGAGAGGCCGAGAAGCATTCTTAACATTCTTTCCAGAGAAAAGGGGTGAAATGTCTGAATTTGGGGGGTCACCACGTTATACAAATTGCAATCTAATCGTTTTTACAAGAACACACTTGCAGTAAGAAAAGGAGCTCAGGAGGAGGGGATGAGGAGACAGACAGCTTGTTTTGTCCCCCTTTCCCCCAAAGTTTGGGGCTATTGTTGGGCCAATCTCTCTACCAGAGCAGTTGAGCTAGAGTTTTCTAGTTAAATAGGTCTTGGGGTGGGGGCCGAGAAGGGCCCACGGTGCCATTTCTGTTTGTTTTCCCAAATCAAAGCCCCAGCAGGGCTCCTGTGGCACTGCTGGGTTGCTATTTGAAGAGATGGGCCTTTTCCCAGAGGCTGGTGTGTCAGTTTATGCTCTGAACTTAACCTCACAGGCACCACACAACAGAGCCTTGAGGGTCCTGGGCCCAGGGCAAAAGAAATTGTATCTTTTTATTGGCCCATTTAAAGTGTGTGTGGCCATTTTAGAGAACCAGAGAACAGCGCAGCAGAAAGAAACTTCTCAGCTCCTGGCCAGGCTGTGTGGGCAGACCAGGGGCTCTCAGGACTTGTGTTGGCCCCCAGGGCCTGGTGCTCACTTGGGTCCTTGGGTCTCCCCCTGAGGGTAGGGACCCTTTGGGCTGTCCTGTATTTCTTACTGCAGATACTTATGGCTATGACATTTTCCAGTGGTGGCATGAATGCTGGAGTAGGGGCCCAGGTTGGCAGCCCAGTCTGGGTGGGCCTCTTATACTGCTGTCCCTGTGCAGCCCCATGAGTGCCCAGCTCTCCTTCCCTCTGAACCCAGGGACCAGGGTGGGCAGGTAGAGCCATGCTGGGCTTCAGTCCTCCCAACCCCCACTGCCTTTCATCTTCTATTTCAAACAAACATGAAATTACTTCTATAGATTAAAGGGGAGAGCTCCTCAGTCATTCCTTAAGGCCTCACTAATGGAGGGGGCAGGGCCCCCAAATCTGGAAGAGGGAGGAGAACTGTGGAGCCAAACAGCCCCTACCCAGCATGTACCCAGTATACCTGTGAGAGAGAGACTGACTCTCCTACAGGGCTCTGGCCTGCCCAGGGTGGCTGAATCTTGGCTGGTGGCCATCTGGGAAGGCAGGGCTTCTCTGGGAGCCAAGGTTAGCAGTCTCTAAGGGATGCTGATCTGGGGAGAAGGCTTCTGCCTGATCCCTCTCAGGAGCCCCCCAACAGAGGCTTGTCATCTTCTCCCCACAGGCCCAGCTCTGGGCTACTGAGACGAAGACCAGAACTTCCCTGAGAAGGAGGCTGGGGGCAGGGGTGCTGACTTGGGGATTAATTCCCCACTGGCAGCAGCAGTGCTCCTGGCCAGGACTCACTGCCCAGGGCTCAAAAGGGAAAAGGGGCAGAAAGGAACCCTCAGTCTCCTCCTTTGATTCCTTCGGCCTTAAGGGAAGATGGCAGCTCTGTCAGGGAGAAGGGAGGTTGTGGGTCAGGGTCTGAATGAGGTGGAAGGATGAGAGCTGACATCTGCATTCAGACGTGTGGCTGGCTGCCTTGTCTGCCTCAAGCCCTTTGCTGACATGCTGCTTGGACCAAAGCTGCGCTGGTGAGCCATGAAGTCCCCTCACTCCATGCCAGGGCCTCTTACCTGGACATCCCTTTGAAGTGTCCATGGCCTTGTTTCTCCTGTCATGGCATGGGAGAGCCCAGCGTCTCATGGGTAAAGGAAGCTGAGGCATCAGGCGTGGAGGGCGCCCCTTTTCCTTCATTCCCCCTAGTCATTCTGCAGAAACTCAATACTTCTACCCATCCCCTGGCCGCAGGGATTAGCGGGTGCACTTGATGTTGAGGGGTAGTTGCTAGGGACAGGAGGCCCCCCTACATGGTTGCTAGGGGTCTGGCATCAGGGCAAAGGGTCTGCCCACTGCCGCGGTCACGGAGGGAATTACACAGTCACAAAGAAATTGTTCTTCTCAGTAATCTGCTCTCGGCCACCGGGTGGGGTGAGGGTGGGGGGAGCAGGCTGGAGTCCCGCAGGCTGGGGGCTGTGATCACAGAGGCGTGCTAGCCCTGGGCTGGGGGCCAGCTAGGCCAGGAACACCAGGGACAGCTCGCTAAGCTGCTTTCTCAGCGATTTCTCTCCCCAAACACAAAGGTGTTTACTTGTTTTAACATCTCCTGGGACTCCCCTTCTCCCTTTGTGTGGTCTTTATCCCCAATGAGGTTTGAGCCCCAGATTACAGGCAGGAATTAAGGCATTGGACTCAGGCAGCTCAGAACTGCATGACCTGCAGGATCAAGAAGTATAAAGTAACCAAGTGTGTGTGTGTATGTGTATGTGTACGTGTATGTGAGGGGGGCCGACCCCTTCAGCAAGCCCCATTCATCGTCCTGAGGAGGAGTGGCTGGGTGGGTGGCAGCTGGCACGCAGGTGTGATGGAGGAGCTGCTGAGGCCTGGGATGCTGGGGGAGGGGTGGGACATGGGACTGGTTGCAGAGGCCTCATGGCAGGGGTGAGGTGGGTAAGAATTGGGCATCTCTTCCCTCAGCCCCCTTCCTTGAGTCTCATTCTAGCTGAGGAAAGAGAACATTTCCCCAAGGTCTGATGCCCTCTGAAGGTGGAACGAATGTGTATGGCCCATGTGGAGCAGCCTCACTCTGTCCTTCCCTTCCCAGTGGGCAGCTGATGACACACTTGGGCAGTGACTTTCCCCCAGGGGCTGGGGTGCTGGATGTCATGTATGAGTCCCCTTTCACACTGCTGTCCTGTGGCTATGACACCTATGTTCGCTACTGGGACCTCCGCACCAGTGTCCGGTGAGTGTGCTGGGCAGAGAGGACAGGTGGTGGGGGTCTGCACCAATCCTGGTCCTTTCTCCAGTCCTGGGTTGGCCCATGGGAGAGGGCACAGAGACTCCATGTCAGGGCTGGGAAGGAAGAGTCCTGCAAGGTCATATCAAGCTTAGACTTCCTGCACTTGGGCAGCCCTGGTCGCAGTGGCTTGGGAAACTATAGCCAACAGGCCCTAGCAAAGGCAGGCGTTTCCCAGAGCCTCCGGAGCCATCAGGGTACTGTCCCTCAATATTCTGTCCCAGCCTTTCTTGAGGCCTGTGTTACTTCTCCCCTCTTGAGTCCAGTGATAAGTAGCTGGCCATATGCAAACAGAAGTGCAGGCATAATCTGCTCTGTGGTCTGGGCCATGGTGAGACAGCCCTCTACAGAAGATGCTTTCTCCCATGAAGTTCGGTTTTTGATGAATCTGATGATTTCGGCTTCTGTCTCCATCCCGGAATGGCTCCTTAACACTCCCCTCAGCCACTCTAGGCCCAAGAAAGCTGGGGCAGAGGTGGAGGGTACCCTAAACCTCCTTTTGCGTCTCCTCTTCCTGGACAGGAAATGTGTCATGGAGTGGGAGGAGCCCCATGACAGCACCCTGTACTGCCTGCAGACAGATGGCAACCACCTGCTGGCCACAGGTTCCTCCTACTACGGTGTTGTACGGCTGTGGGACCGGCGCCAAAGGGCTTGCCTGCATGTAAGTGTCCTGCCCACCTCTTCTCCAGGATGCCAAGACTCATGATTATGGGCTGCATTTGGGAGAGGGTGAGGTAGCCAAGGATGTGCCTAGAAAGGGTTGGAAGAAGCCTACAATGGCACATGTCCCTCTTCCCCTGGGCCTGGGGATCCTGGGTTATGGCACACCTCTGTCCCACTTGGAAAGCTCTTACCACTTCCTGTGCCCTCGCTTCCAGGCCTTCCCGCTGACGTCGACCCCCCTCAGCAGCCCTGTGTACTGCCTGCGTCTCACCACCAAGCATCTCTATGCTGCGCTGTCTTACAACCTCCATGTCCTGGATTTTCAAAACCCATGACCGTCAGGGCCACCCCTGCCTCTGGGCCAGGGAAACCAGCTACTCAGGGACCTCTCTTGCCTGGAGGGTGCAGTGATAGCTCCTCCCCAGTGCCCCACTGTGCTCCTGGGCCTGTGACCCCAGTGCTCAGGCACCTTGCACTAGAGGCTTCTGACTTCTGGGGCTTTGGGGCTTACCAGAGATGCAGTCCCTCCCGGGAACCTGTTGGAGAGGCAGGACCTGCTGCTTTGGAAGAGTGTGGCTGAACCGGGGCCTTGCGTCCCTGTTTGGCCAGAGCAAGGATCTGGCCTGGAGAGGCCCATCCTATACCCCTTATTAGAGCCATGATAGCCTACAGAGTGAGGTGAGGTGCTCCCACCTTCCCAGATGGTTCCTTTCTGCCCCTTCCTGGAAGGAAAGGTAAGGCTGCCAATAGCCCACTGGCACCAGCCAGACCTCACCCTTGACCAACCTCTCGGGGCCGGGGGTTCCTTCCTGGGGCACTGTGACCTGGTTTTGCTTTGAAACCAATAAAGAGCAGAGGGAACCCAGCAGTTCTGAGTTCTGAGCCAGCCCTACCTCAGGCTGGCTGTTGAGACAAGCTACAATTTTCATTTTTGTAAAAATAAAGCTTGATTGTTCACAGATCTGGTTCCTCACTGGCTGAATAGTTCCAGAAGGCCCCAGGAAAAGGGAACAGGGGACCCAAGCTCAGGGTTGTGTGTGCTGCTGAAACGACAAGACTAGCCTCATGGGTCTGTATCCCAAAGAACAAAGGTTTCTTTTTTTCAGGAACAGTTGCCATTGATGACCTATTCTTTAGCCTTTGGGGTGTGGAGGGTCACCTGTGGGTTTGCAGAGGGGACTGTGGAAAGGGTCCAGGCTGCGGGGAGCTCAGTTGTTACCTGTGGTGACCCCTACCCCAACACACACCCTTGGCAACATTATGACCCTTATTCTGGCTTTTTACCCACAATGCCTTAACATCCTGTGTTCTATTTCCAAGGTTTCTGTTTTTGTTGTTGTTGTTTCGTTTGTTTGCTATTTTGAGACGGAGTCTTGCTCTGTCGCCCAAGCTAGAGTGCAGTGGTGCGATCCTGGCTACTGCAACCTCCACCTCCCAGGTTGAAGCAATTCTCCTGCCTCAGCCTCCTGAGTAGCTGGAATTACATGCATGCGCCACCATGCCTGGTAATTTTTGTATTTTTAGTAGAGACAGGGTTTCACCATATTGGCCAGGATGGTCTCTATCTCTTGATCTCGTGATCCGCCCGCCTCAGCCTCCCAAAGTGCTGGGATTAAGGCGTGAGCCACTGCACCTGGCTGGTTTCTGCATTTTTAAAACGTTCCCTTGCCCACATATCTTCAGGAGTTTCCTCTGAGCCACTTCCGCAAGCTATGGTAGCACAGGTTCCCTCCAGCCTGGTCTTCCTGTGAGTTTGTGTAAACAGGTTGCAGGGAAAGGCCAGCCCTGCCCTACTAGGGCCATGTGCTCCCACCCCATTCTCCCTTTTTGTGGAAGGCTTTATGTTGAAGGTCCCTGGGATAGAGAAGGGAATGTCATCACACCCTCCCGAGGGAGGCCAGTGGGGTCTGGGGCCAGGTAGCATACAGAGGTAAACAAGAGGGCAGTCCCTGTGCAGTAAGTAGCTCAGAATGACTTTACTCAGGAAATACGACCATGACTCACTGGCTAGGAGTGCCCCACGGCCCAGTTCTTGTAGACCCGTGATAGCTCCTAGAAGATAGGAGGCTGCCGTGGTCAAGAAGGACCAAGCCTTGAAGTCTCACGGCACCCCCTGTGCTGGAGGTATAAGGCTCAGCGGCCAACTACTGGGTCTTGCAGTCCCCATCGTTGCCGTGGGCTGTCTTTACCTTCTTTAGTTCCTTCTGTAGCTCGGACTCAGCCATCACAACCTCCTTTGGCTTCTGGTACTGTGGATGGAGCCAGGAAGAAGAAAATAATTCAGTCACTGTCCCTTCTCCTTCCGTACACACTTGGGGCCCCTACTCCTTCTGATCCCCTTATTTGCACGAGAAAATTGAGGTCTATAGGATTGAATGATTTGCTCAAGGTCACGTGCCTGAGTAGGAGCGAACCTTGGACCAGAACCCAAGTTCAATTTCCACCGCTTCCCCTTCATCCTCTACCCTCTTCTAGCTGTGAATTATATGGTCAGGCTCCTCCCTGAGCCCCCTCCCTGCTCTCCCCTATGCTGAATTAGAGATGTCTGTTCTCCCACAAGCACACCCTAGGGCTTGGGGCTAGAACTGAGGACTCTTATGGGATGGGAAGTGGGCAGGGAAAGAGGAAGACTCTCCCTGATGCAGTGTCCAAGAAGTCTGGGTGAATCTTACAGAGATGATCAGGGTGCAGTTGGCGTGGGCAAAGCTTAGCAAGGCGTCATCCAGAGGTAGCTGGTGTCTATCTAGGTCAGGAATGGAGAACTTCTTGTAGTACCTGTGGGGACACCGAGAGGCCATTGGGGCACTTGGCAAGGTGACCCCAACAGCTGGGCATCAGGCCCTCTGCTGCCTAGCTTCTACATAGTTCTCCCACACCTTCCACACATGCAGAGAGGGAAAAGACAAGCCAGTTAGAACACCAGTATTTTAGAGCTCAGTGGCCCTGGAAAGCATAGAATGCAAGCCTTATGTCCAGTCCAGTGGCAGAAGAACAGAACCCAGTTATAATTCTGTGATTAGACCAGGGGTTGTAGTGACTCACATCTCAAGAGCTGGGTCTCCCTAAGACAGGCAGAAGAAGCCTGGAACACACAAATAGCTCAAGCAGCTTGGACTCCTCTACACCCAAAGCCTCATGGAGACACCAGAAAAATGGGGCGTGTTCTAACAACGGACAGAATAAGGACATTCAGACCTGTCTCCCAAAGCTGGGGCCCTATTGCTACCATTTACATAAGAAGTCCTCTGAAGGCCTCAACTACCTGTTCCTCTTTTGGGGCCTTTCAAGGCCTTGTTAGCCTGGCTCTACTTGTAGGCCAGAGGGAAAAGTATATCTACTAGGAGAAATCTCCTTGAGAGGACAAACCATGTAACTCATCATGGAAGCTGGACCTCTGGACTACTTGGCTGGCCCCAAGTCCCCACTCCTCCATTTTTACACATCACACATGGTCCTTATCATCTCCAGGTGCTGGTTCAGAGATTAATGATGCCTTTTAATTTAAAAAAAAAAAAAAACAGATAGCAACACCCAGTTCGTAATGTGTATAACTAGACTTCGCAGGAAATTTGACCCCCCTTATCAAAAAGAGAACTCGGCTCAGAGAGATGAAATGTGCCTTGTTTCACAGCCAGTTGTCAGTTGGGATGGAAGTCAAGATTAGATTAAGATTCCTTGTCTTTGGTCTGATGCTTACTACACCAAAGCACAATGAATGGCCTTTTCATCTCTAGCAATATACCAATTTGGCATTTTCCTTGGTGGAAATGTGGCTTAGGATCTGGCCAGGGGCTGCCAGACCTGTCACTTGGGCAAGGCATCACTTTCTGCTGCAGAGGTTGTATGGGCTGTGAAGGGAAACACCTCAGGCAGGTACAAACAGACTCAAGTGAGAGGTCTGGGGAGGATGGGGCTTTTAGTACTTCAGAGGGGCCTGGTCCTTGTGGTGACAGCTACCCTGAGTCCACTTCAAAAGCCCCTATGCCCTGGGGACTCAGAGAGTTGACATCAATGCAGCACTTCTGCCCCCGTCCTCCCTGCCCAAATCCCTCCGTTCAACAGAGACTCTGGGGCCCCTCTCCTCCCAGGTTCCCCACTCCCCACCAAGGTACTGGGACCCATGGCAGGAAAAGAATGTTTACTTAAAGGCTGACAGTTCAAAAGGAGTGGGGGCTGGGGGATCCTAATGGCACTGCAAGTTGCTTTATTTTCCAAAGCTCTGCCCCAGGGAAAGGCGATCCATCTGCCTGCAAACCGGGGATGGAATGCCTGCCTCATCCTCTTCCTAGCCAGCTCAGGCTGAGGGCTCTTCCTGGGGCCTTTGGTCTGGCCAGCAAAGGTGGCAGACACTGATAATAGGGGAGAGTCAAAGGTTAAACAGCAGAGATTAGATGAACACAAAGACTTGTTAGGAAGTGTTAACATCTTCCCTGCAAAGATACACAAAAAGCAGAACCAGGAGGGAAGCAGCCCAGCCGAACCATTCCCCCAGGCTGGGGCAGTGGGACCAGAAAACGAATCCCAGGGCTTGGCCACAACAGCAAGGACAGGATCAGAGGGAACTTAAGGTGCATAGCTTGCACCTGCTTTCCTTGAACTACTCCTACCTCCAGGCAAGAGGAATGAAGGCAGAGCACGTGGAGGCTCAGCTTGGTTTTGAGTCTGTTGTAATGGATTTAGTTTATTGGTTGAGGTTAAACAACTTCTTAGAAGCTCCTGACAGTCAGGCTCAAGGGAGTAGGGGGCATCTGCCTTTTCTCCTCCTGGGGCAGCCCACCCCATTCTCACCCCCATTCCCCAGACATGGGTTTTTTTTCCATGATGGGTACTGTACTTGACTTTCTCACCAGCACCTGGACAACAGAGAGACCCACTGTGCTTCTGGAAGAGTCATAACGTTCAGCTCAGACAGCTGTAGTAGGCAGCAGACATTTATTGGGCATCAACTGTGTCCCAGGCCTTGAGCTGTGAGCTGGGGATATAAGGATGAAGAAGAGGGCGGGCATGGTGGCTCACGCCTGTAATCCCAGCATTTTCGGAGGCTGAGGTGGAAGGATCACTTGAGGCCAGGAGTTCAAGACCAGCCTGGGCAACATAGCGAGCCCCTGTCTCTATAAAAAATTAAAAGAAAAAGATGAAGAAGAAACAAGGCCTCCAGATGCAGTGGCTCACTCCTGTAATCCCAGCTCTTTGGGAGGCCAAGGTGGGCAGATCACTTGAGGCCAGGAGTTCAAGACCAGCCTGGCCAACATGGTGAAACCCTGTCTCTACTAAAATACAAAACTTAGCCAGGTGTGGTGGCAGGCGCCTGTAGTCCCAGCTACTTGGGAGGCTGAGGCAGGAGAATCACTTGAACCCGGGGGCGGAGGTTGCAGTGAGCAGAGATTGTGCCACTGCACTCCAGCCTGGGTGACAGAGCAAGACTCCATCTCAAAAAAAGAAACAAGGCCATATCCCTGCTGATCATACCTTGTTTTGTTTCTGCTAAAAGTTGAATCCTTACAGCAGGATAGTTCCTTGGCTTCCAGCAGATGCCCCGCTCTCCCCCATTCCTACCTCCCTTCACTGTTCTATCTCAGCCATACAATGAAAGATGATATTTTAAAAAATTAATGCTTACTCTGTGCCAGGTTCTAAACACATTTAGTTGTCAAAACAACTCTCTCAGGTTGGTTACTTCTATTATCCACTTTTAAACAAAAGGAAACTGAGGCCCAGAAAAGTTAGATATCTTGCCCAACTCACAAAGCTGGTAAACAGAGAAGCCCGTATTAAAGTGAGAATCCCCCAAATCTCCTGACCCCTCCATGTCTCCACATTCTCACCACAAAGTAATAGCCCACCATGGTCTAGATTATTTGCATTTGTCCAAGGATGGGGCAGATATTGGGGTGGGAGGTGGGGATGTTCAACCATGAAACAGGTTGTCTCCCCTGGAGTCTAAACACTCTGCGGGCCCCCTGGGTACTCTCTCCAGCACATCAATGGCCTTGCTTTCTGAATGTCAAAAGTCTTCAAAAGACGTATGTGGAAGTAAAGGCTTGTCGCAGAACTCCTGGCCCTGCCCTGTGACCCTGGACAGGTCACTTAATTTCTGGGCCTCAGTTTCCACATTCCTTCTTCAAATAAAAGAGCTGCACTAGATGAACTTGAAGTCATTGTCAAAGGGCCCAGAACAGGCCAACTCTGTACCCTATCTTCTCCCTGTTCCACAGACAACTCCATTTTGGCTGTTTCAGGAATGACCTACTGCCTCCCTCTCTACACTCTCTACTGTATCCCCTCCCCAATTCCAGCCCTTCTCCAATCCAAAAGGGCACCAGAGGCCAGGCCATCAGAGGGAGAGAGACTCTGGAGGCTGAAGGCAGGAGCAGGGCTGCTGTGGACAATCACTCAGGTCGTGCCTCACATACCTCGGAGGGGGTGCCATGCACACCTGCACACTGCCAGAGGGTCCAGAGAAGCCTCCAACCAGTCCGCCCTTAGAAAAGCAGCAGGCAAATCTTCTTAAACATCAAGGCGCTAGGCAAACTCGGCACCCCCACCCACAGCCACCCCCTGCTAGAGAGTCACAATCACACACACATACTAAAGGCTCTCAGCCCCACCAAAGAGCAGCCTGTTTAATCCAGAGTTTCCTAAACTTACTTGACCACAGAATCCTTTTTTCTAGTGAAGCCTATTAACACCTCCCACAGTGTTAGTATCACCAATGTCAAATCAGCCAAGCTCTCCTCAGATTCTAGTTTCCAAAGAACTGTTGAGGACCTGCTTCAGGCCAGCCATTGTGCTGGCCTGTACATATACGATTTCATCCAATTCCCCAAAATCTGTGAAGTAGCTCTGAGTGTTCTCTGATAGATGAGGAAACCTTGCCTACCTTCTACAGCTAATATGTGACACAGGCCAGATTTAACCCAACAACTTCTCACTCCTGCACCCTGGCTCATTCCACTTACAGCGGCCAACTTCCAGGCTGAGGCTAGGAGCCCTCTTTCTGCACAAACGTTATTATCAGGAATAGATGGTTCAACACTGGGATCCTAGAAGAGCACTTTTTTCCTTCCCTGATTCAGCCCTCACTAATATGTGAGGCCAAGGACATGATACACTACAATCAATTCCTTCAAGTAAAGTCACCAACCCAGCTCTTCAGAGACAAGGCAAGTATGGGTAAAGAAACTCTGGCTTTGGTCAGTAACCACATTTCAGAATATTAGAACTGGGGCAGGTATGGAACCTCCCGGTGAAGGAAGAGGTCAAGTCAGAGAGAAATGCCATGATGTGGTGGAAAGTGCAGATGCCTGGGCATCAAGAGAGATGGTCACTAACTTTCCTTTCAGCAGGCTGGTTCATCGTGCTGACTTTATATATACATTTATATAATCATCTATAACACAAGAATAAAAGTATGGATCCTGCCCACCTTCCGATAGCATGATGATCAGAAAACAGATTTTAAATGTACTGTATCCTTAAAAAGCTAAACACTGTGGAAGGGAGTAGCCACTGAGTTTTTGGCTTCTGGCCAGAGGCCACACTGGTCTGGGTGTGGTGGCTCATGCCTATAATCTCAGCACTTCAAGAGGCCAAGGTAGGAGGATCACTTGAGCCCAGGATTTTGAGAGCAGCTTGGGCAAAATGGAGAGACCCTCAACTCTACAAAAAAAAATTTTAAACTTAGCCAGGTGGGGTGGTATGCAACCATAGTCCCAGCTTCTCAGGAAGATGAGGCGGGAGGATCCCTTGAGCCCAGGAGTTCAAAGCTGCAGTGAGCTATGATTGTGCAAAAGTGCACTCTAGCCTGGGCAATAGGGCAAGACTCCATCTCTTAAAACAAAACAAAACAAAACAAAAAAGAATGTCTATGCAGGCTATAACCCTTGATGAGAAATAAAGCTCTCCCTTCCAAATTAATTTTTTAAAAGGAATAGCCATTGAGTTCTATATAATTAATGGGAGTCAAGGTATAAAACACATTCCTCCAGGTAGAAGGTAAAAATGCCACTAAGTTCAGGAATGATCTGGCTAAGGGTTCAGCAGCCTCTAGGTAACCTCCCAAAGGAGAGACTTAAGGAGGACAGGGATGAGCCAGGCTGGGACACCGGACCAGAGGCTCAGTGTGGGTTCCAAAGTGGGCCCTGAAACACTCCTCTCTCCTCTATGGGAATCCAACCCTCAGCCCTGCCCCTCCAGGGGCATCACTCCCATCCCACCTGGACTCACCCATCATTTCAAAAATATCCAACAACCCCCACTTGCCTTAAGAGCTAGCGTGGGCCTCTAGTCACGGAGCTCCTGGCCAACAGCGCCACCTATGGCTGGATGTGCGCAGGAGATGGGACCCAGAGGATCTGCCCACAGATGAATTTTTTGGTGAGCTAGCTAGCTTCTCTTTCCTCACTCCCTGGTAATCACATTTCTGTCTGATATCTGTATTCGACAGTGACCTCTGGGGGACAAAAAAGAGGCAGCAGCCAGCTTCACAAAGTGCTGGGCTGCAGATTCAAGTGCTATCAGAAGCACTTTTGTTCCCAGTATGGACCCAAGGCCTCTTCCGCCGGGGAATGCTTGCTGAAGCATGGAGTTTGTTTTCCTACAGGCAATTTCTCTGTTGTCTGAAATTGCTAAATTCCACTTTAGGCAGTGACTCCTGTTAATGATGAGAACAATAACGGGAATAAACTGCCTCTTATCTGAGGGCTTCAAAGTGCTTTATAAACACAAACCCTTATTATTATGACTTGATATTTATAGACAAGGCCCACTGCAGGGGCTGCTGGCTGCATGTACAGCAATAATCCTGAAATTAATTCATCCATCTCCACCCTTTCCCCTGTCCTCTTAACCCTGCCAAAGCAATGGGATATGGGGGTCACAAGAGGATAGCAGCACCCAGGGCTGCAATGGGGGAGTCTGGGAGCTACCCTGCTTCCCTGTGGGCCTCGTGGGCCTGAGGGAGATGGAAGGGGAGACTGGCACCACATCACCTGAGGAGATGCACAAGGAACTGGGTCCCCATTACTGCATGTAAAGCAGGAGATGGGTGGGGGCATCCCCATGAGGCATGTTGAATGGCTTCACAGCTTGCGGACGGGTAACTTGTAAAACCTCCCATCTGAATGCACAAATCTATTTTGTGGGAGTTGGCCCTAGACTGTATTCTCTCTAGCCCAGGTCAAGATTGACTCATTTCAGGGCCATTCCCTTCGGGCCTCACATAGGGCATTTCTCTTCTCCTGTGATCAGCCAGGGCTTCAGAAACCTAAACGAGATCAATGCATTTCCAAAATGGAAATGCACTGTGGCCACCTTCTGTCCTTTCAACCCCTGCAGTTTGCCTCCCCTCTAAGGGACCACAAATGGAAGTTGAGTACCCCTTTTGAAGCATTATGCAAGAGATTTCCAAGCAGCCCAAGCATCTGCCCCACTGTCACTCAGTCTGGGGAGGGATTAGGTTTACTGCTGCCCAGTCTGCTTTAAACTGCTGTCAAGTACTGCTTTAAAGGACTGTCACTGCCACTTCAGACAGGTGTGCCTTCCAAGCTATGGCTCCCTGCCAGCTCTGACACTGATGTCACCAGGCCACCCTTAACAAGGACTGGATCCAGCCAGGAGACCAAGATCATAATAACCTTTCAGGAGAACCACCTGAGACCACAAGCTAATGGTCGTGTGATTTCCCTCATCATCTCATTCATTCAACAAATATTTACTGAGCTCCTGTCTATGCCAGGTACTATACTAGACACTCATTCAAGTTTCTCTTCCCTGATGGAGCTGATTACATTATTCAGGCTGGTCCTGCAGAGAGGAAGCCCTTCCAATACCTGGAAGCAGAAGGGCTTCCTCTCTGCAGGACCAGCCTGAATAATGATCCTAACCCCAGATCAAACCCCACCTACAGCCTGCTCATACACAAGCACACAGGGTGCCCTCCACGCTACTCACTTCTTGTTGGTTGTTTTGACAATGATGCAGCGCTCCTTCTGGTCCACACAGACACTGTAGACATCCTTAGCATAGGGGAGGTTTCGAATTCGCCACTGGAAACTCTTCTTGGTGTCCTTGCGCATGAAGATAGGCTACAGAAGGCAAATCCAACTCGAGGACTGTTCCTGGGGAAGGGAAGGCTCCACCCTCATCAGAGCTCTACCCCGGGGCATAAGACCCTCAACTCTTCTCCACTGCTGCCCTCTGACACTACTATTGCTACAACACTCCAGGCCCTGAGCCCCTGCCCTGGGATGATCAAGCCAAAATGTCTGTATTCATTGAAACAAACATTTATAGATTGTTGTGTCCAGGTGGCACACTGGAGGCGAGGAGGTGAACAAGACATGGTCCCTGTCCTCAAGAGCCAGCAGCCCACAGCCCACCCCCACCTCAGCCCGTGCAAGACACCTGGACAGATGGACGTACATTGGCATTGCTTTCCTTGATGAGTTCAGGCCCCAGGTTTCCTGCTCCTAGGAGCGCTGGCTCTCCTACTTCAAGCTGCCACTGGCCCATGGCTCCCAGGGCACTTTTCACACGCCACTTTCTCACTGGGGAGAGAAGCAAGCATCAGGATGAGAGTGAAGAGAGGGTCTCTGCTCTTTTCTGTCGAATCACCGGCACCACACTAGGTAACCAGCACAAGATGAAAGTGGGAGTGTTGGGCCTTTACTCTCGGCTTTAATTTAAGGAGGGACCTCACAACTTCTGAAATTTCAGTAGAGCATTTCAACATTAGACAACCTGCAAAGCGCATCTCATGGGCGCTCAGGCAAAAGGAACTGGAATGAAGCTCTGAGAGGAGCCAAGTGGAGTCAAGAAACCCTCAGGTATGGCTTCAAGCAAAGAGAAGAAGTGAAAATTAGGAAAAGGGTTGTTTCTGGTAATGGAGAAAATCTGGATCCCAAAAAAGAGTTGAGGCACATTTTTTCCCTCAAAAACATGCAGAGGAAAAAAGAAGAGGGTGAAAGCTGTTGGGCAGGTCTGTATCATGATTCAGAAAGTCCAAATATAGAAATTCACTCATTTCAGGTACACCTTGCTTTAAAAAACAAAAACAAAAACAAAAAAAACGCCCCAAAGCTGCATTTAAACAAAATTGTAGGCACATGCCATATTTTAAATGCACTGTTTATAAAAGATCTAATGAGAATTTTTTGTAAAAGGGAGTCCTTTTAGAATGCAAATAACCATCTTTATTTTACCTTAACAACCCAGATGCTTGCATAAGATTTTAAGGCACATATATTATGAAAATTATAAATCAAGAAACTAGTTGAATGGACAGTACCTGAAAACCCCTGCTGAGATTTTCATTTTCAGGAACCATGCAGTCCATCACTGCAGGGGGATCTTTTCTGAGCTGTGACCTCCCATCCTCCAGTTCCTTTCCCTTCCTGCCGCATTTGGAATCTGGGGGCTGCCTGCTATGGTATCCTCCAGCCTGAGGAGCCCAGTTGGTGCTAAAGACCAGCAGCCTCTGTAGCTGTTTAAGGAGCTAAACAACTCAAAAAGTGCATAGTACTTGGTTACAGTTGTTTCTGTTTGTGTCTTCTTCCAGGTAGGAGTTGATAGCTACAGTCAGGTTCTCAGCACTAGGCAGGCCAGCTGTTTACTTTAGACCTTTTGAGCAGCTGTGTCAAATCCAAATGCCCTTATCGCTATAAGTAAGGCACACAACCTGAACACAAAAGTGTGCTGTAAAATTAGAATTTTCCCTTGGATATGTGCTTTTATAAGGTCTGCTGCATTCTGCAGTGTGATTTTATTACCTCTTAGGGCCAAAAATTCTCCCTAGAAACACATTTCCAAGTTTATAATGAAAATTAATAAGGAAGAGTAAAACTTGGAAATATGCTTTATAGGCAACTTTTTTTCCCCCACAAATACTTCTCTCTTAAGTGAATGGACTGTGACCAGGAGTATATCCAAATCTATTCAGTGTTAATACCTCTCTTCACTGGAAGCAGCCTTCTGGGGGCCTCTGTCACAGTCGCGAACTCAGAAGTGACAAATGCCTCTGAGCAGCAGCTTATTGTGAAAAGATCCATGTACCCTACTCTATACTACAGGAAAGATCACTCTCAGATTCTTGCTCAGACTAGGTATAAAATGCTGTGTGTAGAATAAGGCAGGAAATTACTTTTTTTCTCAGGCATATTGACAATGGTATGGGGACAGCTCACATTGGACGGCAGTGTCAGAACCACATAAACACTTGGGACCATTTAGTGTAAGGGCAAACAAGCACCCTTAGACTCCAATGGTGCCACTTTATAATAGAACACAACCATCACAGATTTTAAAGGTGGAAGTTCCTTTAGAAAGCATCTACTCCAATGTCTGTACTTTTAAAATGAAAAATAGCATTTCTTCCCTGACTGCTCTCTTTCAACCCCTGCCACTACTCTCCAGGAAACAGAGTATGAAGAATTACTGAGGCTCAAGGAGACAATCTTACAAATGCCACAGCTAAACTCCGGGCCTCGTAACTCCAAATTCAGAATTTGAATTATTAATAAAACTTTATTCTGAAAGTGTTCAATAAGCATATGTAATATTTTGAAAGGTTTCTGTTTTTTTTTTTCAAGTAGATCAATTAATTTTTTTATATTTGACCTTTAAAGGGTAAGCTTTGATTATCTGAAAAAGTAAAATATGAGGACTACCTCACTACCTGGGGCTGGATAAGTGAGGTGCCCCGTTAAGTCATGGGCCTTGCTAAATTGGGTGTCCTAATGCACAATACAGCACCAGGGTGGCCTGGAGGGACGATAACCACCCCAGGATTTTCTGTGCACTCTTTTACTCCAAGAAATTTTGAGTTTTACACAGAAAACTTCCCAAGAAGTACTCAAAGAAGGAAGAAAGTCAGCTGCTGGTTTCCTTACTTCTGACATTAAAAACCACTCAGGGAACTTGACACCTCCGGCTGCTTCACCTTTATTTTTTGTTTAAACATCTTGAGAATTAAATTCTTTGTTAGAATGCAGAAGAAAGTCTCCTTTTCCATTCCCTCTAGAGATAAGACCCAATAAAAGATTTTGGTGAAGTCCTCCTTATTTTTCCCATGCACAAGTGCACATGTGCAAACGCACATGTAAAAATGCACACTTTGTCTTGTCTTTCTTGTCCCTGTCTTTGTTCCTGAACTCAAGGACGGCTCCTGTGGCAACAGAAGACTGTTTCCACCTGCTGTCACTCTGATTTGATTATATGTTAAACCCAAACTGGTGTGTGTGGGGCAGCTTCCCGGGCCGCTGTCATATCTTCCCAGCTGAGCCCCAGCCAGACCCTGGAAAGGAGACTTTCCACCCTGGTTAAGGGTCTGATGGGGAATATATAAAGGTGGTGGTGCCTGGGGGCTTTTTCCTAAGTCAGCAGGAAGCAGGCTGATGTCCCAGACTGCTGAAAGGAGGCCCCATCTTTCAGGTGGGCTGGAAAGTAGACGTCCTAAAGGCCTCTTTCCCCAAAGCTCCAAGCCCTGGCCCGCTTCCAATGTGGATAATTACATTCCCCTTCCCTAAATACTCCCTGCAGCTTAAACTGGATGCAGGATTCTTCTTTTCTGCCCTAAAACACTGCAACATTGCTATGTGGCTATTAAACAGCTGCCATGTCCCATCCCAGAGGAGGCCGAAGGGAATCGAGTGGGTCATTTATAAAGCCAGTGAAGTGCTTGGGGATGAAAGTGCTCAATATCCTCCAAATGCAGCCTCGGGTGGTTAGGCTGGCGGTCAAATACCAAAGCAGATTAAGTCGGTAATCCGAATGTAATCGCTGGGGGATGGCCTGCCCTTCAGCCTCAGCCCCCTTGGACATGCTGTGTTCTTCTCAGGCTGGTTTGATGTTCCGATCATTGTTATGGGGCCTTCAGTTTTTTCCTCTATGAATACATGCAGCAATCATTGTGGGGGGTGGGAATGAATAGCACTGAGAGGGTAGGAAAAAAAATAGGACACTAACATGCTTATTAACACCAACTGGAGGAACTCTGTCCCAGACTGACGCACACCTATTGGCAATTCTTTGTCTGTAAATTACTTTGAGTTTTTCTAACAGAAAACCAGTTTGGCTAATTTTCAAATTTGTATACTTAGCTAGAAAAATGGAAACTATTCCTATTTATTGCCACGAAAACCATGTCCCTATTTTGCTTCATAGAATGCATAAGCAAAAGCCAGCTCAAACCCTGGGATTATTTATACTTAAAAATTAATAATGAATAGTATTTTGCCAGGGCAGCTGGGGTGGTGGGCAGGAAGAAGAGTACGAAAAAGATCTGCTGTTCTAGAGCTGGGCCCAGTGGCTCCAGTGAGGTCCTCCTGTCTGCTCATCAGTCCACACTCAGGCCTTTCTGGGCAAAGAAAAACATAGTAAGAAGAAAAGAAAGTTGGATTTAAGTATTCTCAACTCCCAGCACTATGTTGTTGAGGACTAAAGCCTGGACTCTTAATTGGACAGAACTAGGCTTAAATCCTGGCTTAGAAACTAGCTACATAATTCTCAACAAGGTGCTTAACCTCTTTGAGCTTCCATTTTTTCCAAATGTAAAATGGAGACAAGAGTATCTACCTCATAGGGCTTTAATGAGGATGAGTAAATGAGGTAATTCACATAGAGCACTTAGCATGGTGCCCAGTAAGAGTCATGATATTAATATCATTATTAGGTCAACTTTAGCCAAACAGTGTTCTCCTGTGAACAGTCTTCTCCATTTCCGCTTTTAAGAAAGAGGAGTTTGGAAGCCACGGTCTATTCCCCACCTGCCACCAGGAGAAGTGACAGGTTAATGTGGGATATCAGGGCACATGGTGCTACAAATGAAGAAATCTGGACTTGTTTTTAATTTCAGTTTCATGTCCAAGCACAACAAAGACACCGGGTTTTATTTGTTTGTTTTTACAGCCGCAGCAGCTATAGCTGTTTTATTTGCTCTGTGTGGAGGAGTAGAGAAGTGGCATGGGGGGCTGGGAGTGAGGAGCTGTGGCTACTCTCTGGCCTGGTTATGGTGGTGGCTAGTCCACGTGACCTCTGCTTTCATAAGTTCTCCCCTGTTAGGCATTCCAAGGCTGTCATCCCCTGGGAGCACTATAAATTACAATGCATTGTGAGGATATTACTACTGTATTGGTTTCCACCGAATCAGTGTCATATGCTAAACACATCAAGATTTTTAATAGCACCAGACTAAACCAATTGGGACTGGAGCCCAAGCAGCTCATAATAAGGAGGGATCAACACTTCACTGTGTGACTGAACATGCGCAGGACAAACATTTTAAGACTGGAGACTGAGGGAATGCAAGCCAGTGTAATCCACGTTGTCGGTTCTAGACATTTATGAGCTGTCAGAAAAAGGGAAAAAGAAATTCCCTCACCAATACTACCTGTCGATCAGGCCCAGGAAGAAATTAAAGCCAAGAATAATGACAGGAAAATAAACCAGCCCGTGATTCCATCATTGGTCTTAGCATTTCAGATGGAACTTAATAAAGAGACCAACTCCCACTGCTGACAGCCTTGGGCCCTGGGTCAAAGAGCCAGCCACCTAGCTCTGGGAAGCTGGTTAATGCTGATGTGCACACCTGAGAACACAGTGGACAAATCAAATAATTCCCAGAAATCTGAGCTGGAGCCGCTACCCATGAGCCTGTTCTTAGAGGAAAGGCGCTGCAGGAATGAAAGTGACCACACTGCTTTTCTGGCGGTGACGACCTACCCACACGAGAACATGCCTCTCGCAAAGGATCTCCTTCATCCCTCCCCGGAAGAGGAGAAGAGGAAACACAAGAAGAAATGCCTGATGCAAAGCCCCAATTCCTACTTCATGGATGTGAAATGCCCAGGATGCTATAAAGTCAACACGGTCTTTAGCCATGCACAAATGGTAGTTTTGTGTGTTGGCTGCTCCACTGTCCTCTGCCAGCCTACAGGAGGAAAAGCAAGGCTTACAGAAGGATGTTCCTTTAGGAGGAAGCAGCACTAAAAGCACTCTGAATCAAGATGAGTGGGAAACCACCTCAATAAACACATTTTGGATATTAAAAAAAAAAAAAGAAAGAAAGTGACCACGCTGCAAAATCACTGTTTTGACCCTCTTGGACTGAGATGTTCTTCAAGATGAGGACCATATTTTACAGTGTTGCCTTTGAGGCAAGCTCAGAAGCTCTGCCTCTGATACTCGCTTGCTCCTGGTGTGGCTTCAGAAAACAAACAAACGAACAAATAAAAACAAAAAAAAAAACAAGGAAAAACAAATTGTGGTGAAAGTCTGCCCTTATCCCTCCTAAACCTACAAGGCTGACTTCCAATACCACCTCCTCTGTAAAGTTTTTTCCCAACTGTTTCTCTACATCTTAGAATTACTCTCTCATTTGTCTGGGGCGAAGGGTAGGGATGAATTTTACTGGTCAAAAGGACTTGCACTCCACTTTCGGTGCCCAGATTATTCGCAGGAACATTGTTGTCTCGAGGGCTTCAGTCTCTCCCAGCTTCTACATTTGATCTGGGCTCCTGCCTCAAGCCTAAGGCTAGGAGTGGTCACTGTGCTTAGGTCAGCACCAAGTATTCCTAAAGGCCCACTGGGAGCCTCTGTCACTCACCAAGTAGTTCACTCGTCTTCTCGTCATATTCTTCAGCCATTTCCTTGCCATCTGGGAATAAATAGTGCACCTTCCTTCTCCCTGTGCACAAAACAGAGAGCGCCTTACCTCAAAGCCTCCCCTTGCCCTGTCCCTTGCAGATCAAGGGGCCTATCTGGGAAACAGCACCAGCCTTGGGAGTACTGAGGAACCCAGCCAGGGCCTCCCCAAACTCCTTGCCAACCATCACCCACCATTACTTTAAAACATGTCCTGAGACTCTCTCCCTTTCTGAAGCTTTCCTTGAACATGTCTTTGCTCTGCTGTTTCCTCTACCAGCAACAGCTCCATACTTTTTCCTATCTATGGAACTCTTCTTTGCCCTTCAAAATCCAGCTCAAATGTCACTTCCACTGGGAAGTCTTCCTCCACTATCACCTCCAGCCACCTTCGTAGGATTAATCACGTCCTCATGTGTGCCTCCCTAATGTTTTACTCATATCCATAGTGGAGCGTTTACTACATACCATGATACTTTTAAAAAGCATTTGTCTTCCCATGAATGACAACATATTTATCTCTCTCTCCCCACTTCCTAAAACCAAGCCTATGTGTTCAGGACATTGAATTAGGTTTCCTGCCAAGCACTCCCTCTAGCCATGCCAGTGCCCTGCCTTCTGCACATCTCCAGGCCATTCCTATCATACAGTAACACAACGCTAAGTCCTCATGCATTTTCTTCATGGCACTTACTTTGGTTATGATTTTACATCTATTTATGTGACTCTCTGATTATTGCCTCTCTTCTACTAGATAGGAGGGGTTTCATCCCCATGCTATGGTTTCCTAAAGACCAAGCGTGGCTCCTGGCATATACTAGGAGCTCAACTAAATACTGATTAAAAGGATGAATAAACATTGATGCACTATCCACTGAAAGAATAGAAGAAACTAAGGGAGGCCGGGTGCAGTGGCTCACACCTGTAATCCCAGCACTTTGGGAGGCCGAGGCTGGCAGATCACAAGGTCAGGAGTTCAAGACCAGCCTGGCTAACATGGTGAAACCCCATCTCTACTAAAAATACAAATAAGTTAGCTGGGCGTGGTGGCGGGTGCCTGTAGTCCCAGCCACTCAGGAGGCTGAGGCAGGAGAATTGCTTGAACCTGAGAGGCAGAGGTTTCAGTGAGCTGAGATTGCACCACTGCACTCCATCCAGCCTGGGCAACAGAGTGAGACTGTCTTAAAAAAAAAAAAAAAAAAAAAGAAGAAGAAGAAGAAAAAGAAACTAAGGGAGTCTCCTAGCCCAATTCCTCTACCCATGGAGCATTTGCTTAAAAGTGGCTATGTAATTTCCCCTTTCTTTTTATAGGTAGGGAAGTAGATACAGGCAGACCCCTCAGTAAAACTAGTAACAGAGCACTAACATCCAGTAGACAAGTACCCTATGTATGCTTAATGAATAAGAGCCCCAAGGTGCCTTCTTCCTGTCCAATTCACTTCTCTGGTATACAGTCCCTTGAGCCATTCCTAATTGGTATTCTGCGTAAACTCACCCCTAAATTTGCAGGGCCTCTAGCAGAGCCCTAGGTTATACCACCCTTAATCATTTGGATGGCTCACAAGCATTAGAAAGGGCTCTCCTGCAGGAGCTTGATCCAAGGTACTGCCTGGGAGGAGCTGAGGGGGTCTTGCCTGACCATCTTCTCCCCTTGGCATCTAGCCTTGAGTCCAGACAGGATGCAGTGCTTACGAAATCCACCAGGCATTTCACATGTCTTAACAAATTTAATTCTCACAATAATCCTATGTGTCTTCATTACCTGTATTTCATAGATGAGGAAAACTGAGGGCTTTTTTTTTTTTTTTTTTTTTTAACAGAGTCTCGCTCTGTCGCCAGGCTGGAATGCAGTGGCGCAATCTCAGCTCACTGCAACCTCTGCCTCCTGGGTTTAAGCAATTCTCCTGCCTCAGCCTCCCGAGTAGCTGGGACTACAGGTGCATGCCACCACACCAGTTAATTTTTGTATTTTTAATAGAGAGAGGGTTTCGCCATTTTGGTCAGGATGGTTTCAATCTTCTGAACTCGTGATCCACCCACCTCGGCCTCCCAAAGTGCTGGGATTACAGGCGTGAGCCACCACGCCCGGCCAACTGAGGCTTTTTTTTAGAGAGTCTCGCTCTATTGCCGAGGCTGGAGTGCAGTGGTGTGATCTCGGCTCACTGCAACCTCTGCCTCCTGGGCTCAAGTGATCCTCTACCTCAGCCACCACCATGCCCAGCTAATTTTAAAATTTTTTTGTAGAGATGGGGTCTTACTATGTTACCCAGGCTGATCTCAAACTCCTGAGCTCAAGCGATCCTCCTGCCTTGGCCTCTCAAAGTGTTGGGAATACAGGAATGAGCCACCACACCCAGCCCTTAACTTTGTTTAAAGTGGGTTTTCCCAAACAAGTGTTTTTGTTTAAGAGTGTCTGCCTATGTTCCCTAGGCTGGAGTGCAGTGGCTATTCACAGGCATGATTATAGCATACTACAGCCTCAAACTTCTGGCCTCAAGCAATCTTCCTGCCTCAGTTTCCCTAGTAGCTGGGATTACAGGTGCCCAACACAAGTGTTTAGTTTTTATAAAGTCAACTATATATTTTCTTTCTTTGTGGTTACTGCCTTAGAAGTTGCACTCAGAGTATCCTCCCTTACTCAATGATTATGCGATACTTATCTATACTTTGTTTTAATAGTATATTTATTCTAGAAATAAATGTATATATAAATTATTAAGTATATTAGTATATTTTTGTAAAAGAAAAAATAACTGTGAGTGTACGCATGGAATAATATAGAAGTTTATGTATAAAAATATAAATTATGGGCTGGGCGTGGCGGCTCACGCCTGTAATCTCAGCCCTTTGGGAAGCTAAGGCAGGCCAATCACCTGAGGTCAGGAGTTCAAGACCAGCCTGGTTAACATGGTGAAACCCCGTCTCTACTAAAAATACAAAAAAAATTAGCCAAGCGTGGTGGCGGGCACCTATAATCCCAGCTACTCAGGAGGCTGAGATAGGAGAATCCCTTGAACCCAGGAGGCAAAGGTTGCAGTGAGCCGAGATTGCGCCATTACACTCCAGTTTGAGCAACAAGAGTGAAACTCATCTCAAAAAACAAAACAAAAAAAACACTAAATTATGATTATCTGGGTGGTAATATTATACGTGACTTATTTTATTTTTCATATTTCCACAATGAATTATTTCTTTAAAAAATCAAAAGGACATTGAATTCTCATTATCCAACTCAAGATATCAATAGCCATGATTCTTGGTGGAGGGGAGTAACCCTCCCCCACTCCCATATCCCTCCTACACACCCAGGGGTAAACCTGCAGGTTTGACAAGGCAAACCACATATGCAATACTGAATTGTTTTTCAGTTTGTGGATAGGGTAGAATCTAACATCATTTTGTGATGCTACTAACAAAAGAACTTAACAAAATCCTGGCTGATAAAATATTTGTTTAAACACTACTGTGACCAAAAAGAGTGAAAGCAGGGACTGGAGTGGATCTTTGTATACTCATGTTCAGAGCAGCATTATTCACAATACCCAAAAGTTGGAAGCAACCCAGGTGTCCATTAACAGATGAATGAATCAACAGAATGCAGTATAGACATACAATGGGATATCACTCAGCCTTAAAAAGGAGCAAAACTTTGACACATGCTACAATATCCATACCTCTGTGCCTACCTCTTCCAGGCACAGCCCTTGGTCCTTGCTGTATCTCCCCTAAAAACACGGGGAACATTTAGAGGTTTACTTTACAAACGATATTACAGCCAGAAAGGACCTCAGACATAACAATCGTAGCCCATCCACTTCATTTTACAGATGAGGAAAGTGAGATCCAAGCAAGTAAAGGGGCCGACTAGAGAGCCTGTGGTGAATTAACGGCACAGCTGGAAGCATCCAACTGTGGCAACATGGATGAACCTTGAAGCATTACGCTAAGTGAAATATGCCAGTTACAAAAAGATAAATATTGTATGATTCCACTTAGATGAGGTTCTTAGAGCAGTCAAATTCATAGAGACGGAAAGTCAAATGGTGGTTGCCAGGGGATGGGAGGAGGAGGGAATGAGGAGTTGGCGTTTGATGGGTACAGAATTTCACTTGAGCTGAGTGTAGTGGCACATGCCTGTAGTCCCAGCTATTCAAGAGGCTGAGGTGGGAGGATTACATGAGCCTAGGAGTTCAAGGCTGCAGTGAGCTATGATCGTACTACTGTACCCCACAGCCTGGGTGACAGAGCAAGACCCTGTCTCCAAAAAGAAAAAAATTTCCGTTGAGAAAGATTAAAAAGTTCTGAAGATGGTGGTGATAGTTGCACAACAATGTGAATGCACTTAATACCACAGAACTGTACACTTAAAAATGATTAAAATGCTAAATTCTGTGATGTATTTATTACCACAATAAAAACAGAAACCACTGTCCTATGAGAAAATGTCCTAAATATTTAGCAAGGCATAAGAAATCTATCACAATATGTCCCAATTTATCTGTAACCTCTCTTCATTTTCCACAACATCCCCTTATTGCTGCTTGAGAAAAGGGACCTTTTTATTCTCCCTTCTATCCTGGCATGTAGCATAGTACCTGACATAGTTACAGGTGGTTTGTTCTGACTGGGTGACTGCTTTAACATTACTAAACGTTTTGTTACTCCCCTAGTAATCAGGCACGTACCTTCACACCTTTACATATGGGCCCTTATATGTGAGTCGTTCTTCCTTGAATAGCTATCCCCTCTTCTTCACTCAGCAAACACCTATTTTAATTCTTTTTTTTTTCCTGTTTTTTTTTTTTTTTTTTTTTTTTGAGACAGGGTCTCGCTGTGTCGCCCAAGCTGGAGTGCAGTGGCATGATCTCGGCTCACTGCTGCGTCTACCTCCCTGGCTCAAGTGGTCCTCTGGCCTCAGCCACAAGGTAGCTGGGACTACGGGGCATGTACCGTGATGCCCGGCTAATTTTTGTCTTTTGTTTGTTTGTTTGTTTTTTGTCTGAGACAGAGTCTTACTCACTTGTCACCCAGGCTGGAATGCAGTGGTGCAATCTCAGTGCACTGTAACCTCCGTCTCCCGGGTTCAAGCGATTCTCCTGCCTCAGCTTCCAGAGTAGCTGGAATTACCTAGGTGCACACCACCATGCCTGGCTAATTTTTTTGCATTTTTAGTAGACATGGGGTTTCATCATCTTGGCTAGGCTGGTCTCGAACTCCTGGCCTCAAAGGATCCGCCCACCTCAGCCTCCCAAAGTGCTGGGATTACAGGCGTGAACCACCACACCCGGCCATAATTTTTGTATTTTTTGAAGAGATGAGGTTTGGCCATGTTGCCCAAGCTGGTCTCGAACTCCTGAGCTCAAACGATCCACCCGCCTCAGCCTCCCAGAGTGCTGGAATTACCGGCGTGAGCCACTGTGCCTGGCCTTATTAATTCTTCAGGACCCAGAAACATCATCACTTCTGTTGGGTCTTCTTCCAAAGAGATGTCGCTTACACCTTCACTCTTTCCTACCATTTTATACAAGACTACAACCTCTATTTAACACATCTTATTACTTAAATACATGTTTTTCCCAACCAGTCTAAGTCCTGTGACAACATATCTTTTTCTTTCTGTTCTAGTTTAGAGCTTGGCACATAGTAAAAGCCTCCCTAAATGTTGCACGAACGAGTAAATGATTTTAATATCCACAAACTCCAGGCTTCCCTGATTGGCCTTTGCCTGTGAATGTGAATCACCAGCTATTATCTTGAAAGTCTCAGGAACTTCAGACACAATTCATCCTGGTTACCCAGTGGGTCCAGAAAGGACCCAAGTGCACAGGGGGCTGACATCGGCCAATCCTAGGGTGAGGAAAAGTTAGATATCCATGCCCCTGTGCCCACTTCTTCCAGGCACAGCCCTTGGTCCTTGCTCTAGCTCCCCTTAAGACACAGAAAACATTTAGAGGTTCACTTAACAAAAATGTTACAGCTGGAAAGGACCTCAGAGATAACAACGGTAGTCCATCCACTTAATTTTACAGATGAGGAAAGTGAGGCCCAAACAAGTAAAGGTGCCGACTGGAGAGCCCGTGGTGAATTAATGGCACAGTCGGAACTAGAGCCCAGGCCTCTCTCCTCTCTAAAGTCTAAAACATTCTTGGATTTCAGTTTCCTCTTCTGTAAAACGGGGTGGAAAATTAGCCTCTCAGGACAGTGGTGAGGAGCAAATGAGATAACGAATGTAAAAGAAATTACTATATTAGCAACAGAACTCAGAGCGGGGCGAGATGGTGTAGAGGAATTTAAGGGGTGTCCGGAGACATGTGTTCCGGTCATGTCATCTCTGTGAGCCTCAGTCTCCTCATCCGCAAATGCAGGACCTGGCCCGGCTGACCACCGAGACCCTTCCAGCTCTGCCGACCCAGGCCCTGAGGCCCTTCCCGGAGGGCCGGACCCTGGGGGAAAAAAACGAAGGAGCTCGCGGGGACCCTCGAGTTACCGTCCTGCAGCAGTGCAGTCTTCTGGGCTGTCCGCAGACTCTCCAACCAGCCCGTCACCGCCATCTTTCCTCTGCTAAGCAGCCCGCCCGGCCGCTGCCATGGCAACCGTTCCACTGAAGGTCACTTCCGGCTGACTCGGAAGCTATTCTGGGCATTTGCCCTCCTTCCCCCCTTCGTCCGTTCTCATTGGCCTACTCCTGCCCACCCTCGGGTGACCAACTTGGCCAGTTGTCGACCGCACCCGGGGACTGACTCTGACGGTTGGAGAGAGACTCTTGGCGCCGGGGTTGGGCACTCCAACTCTCTTCTAGCCCCGAGCTGGGATTCCCTGGCCTGCGCCAGCTGCGTACAGGGCGAGTACACCACACCTGCCCGGGTCTTCACCCCCAGCTGCGAGACTCCTCCATTCCCGGAGGGCTCCCTACACCTGCTGCGGCCGTGCCCCATCTCCCCGCAGCTGCGGCGCTGAGCATCCCCATGTCGAGAGGCTGAGACCAGAGCAGGTGCAGGGCGTTCCCACTCACCCGCGAAAGTCCGCCTCCTCAGGTTTTCCTCTGCAAGTCTGTGTTGGAGGTAGAAAAAGAGTATGTGGAGTTTATGTGCAGGTCCTCCCCAGTCTCCGCTCCATCCCCTAAAGCTCCATTTCCTAGCCCAGCATCCCATTTTGGTAAAGCCCTTCGAAGTGGGCCGCAGCAGGAGGGCTGTGCTGAATCTTTAGAGCAACCCCTTTGAGGAATGGGTATAGTTTCCTACTCCTCAAAAGTACCCCCGATAGCTCCAGCCTTCCCCTCATTTCCCCTAATACTCCAACTTTGAAAGACTGGGGAGTGTGAAGCTAGGCTAAAAAGCTAGTTTAACGGGGTTTGAAGAGATCCCCCCCCCACCTCCCGCTTCCCCAAACTGGGCTGCTACCCCCTACCTCCATAGGCAAAGGGGTTGGAGATCCTTAATTCTGTATTTCCACCTGACAGCAACCCTGACCAACCCTCCAACAGGCTGGGATCCAGCCGTACTTCAATGGATCCCAGGGGTATCTTGAAGGCGTTTCCCAAACGGAAGAAAATTCATGCTGATGCATCATCAAAAGTACTTGCAAAGATTCCCAGGAAGGAAGAGGGAGAAGAAGCAGAAGGTGAGATGACCCACTCTCAGAACCCTCATGCGCTTGAACCCTCAGCCTTCATGTGCTTCAGCCCTATGTTGTTCATGTCCAGAATCAGATATTGGAGCTGACTCTGCCTGTCCAGGGACTGCAGGTCTGTTTGTATCTGCCTTGTACTAAGCTTGGTCCTGGGTCTTGGACAGGCCATTTGCTGTGTTATCTTCTTTTCTACCTGAACACCCCTATCAATTGAAAAAGACTCCCTGGACCCTCAGGGAATGACCAGTATAATTTTTGCCCTGGGGGACTGGGACAGAAACCCCCCTCCATTACCCAGGCTTGTTGTTAGTTGTTTTGCAGCCAAATTGATAAATAAATGGCAGAGGCTTTGGAGGCAGGGTTGTCGGGTCTGTCAGAGTGTAAGGGCAAGAAATGTGCATTGTTGAAAGAATAAATGATAAAGGATTCAAAGTATGGAGAGAGGCTGGGCGCGGTGGCTCATGCCTGTAATCCCAGCACTTTGGGAGGCCAAGGCAGGCAGATCACCTGTGCTCAGGAGTTCGAGACCAGCCTGGGCAATGTGGCGAAACCCCGTCTCTACCAAAAATACAAAAAACTAGCCAGGCATGGTGGCACACGCCTGTAATCCCAGCTACTTGGGAGGCTGAGGCATGAGAATTGCTTGAACCCGGGAGATGGAGGTTGCAGTGAGCCAAGATGACGCCACTGTACTCCAGCCTGGGCAACAGAGTGAGACTGTCTCCAAACAAACGAAAAAAAAGACTGTCTCCAAACAAACAAACGAAAAAAACAAAACAAAAACAAAAACAAAGTAAGAAGGGAGGAGGCATTCATTCAGCAGATATTTACAGGTTACTTACAATGTGCCAGACACTTCTAGGTTGCACGAAGGAACGGGACATATAAAAATCCTTGTCCCTTACTTTCAAGTACTGGCCTGTGAAAAAATTTGCTGTATGTAGAAGGAAACCTGCCTGGATGGAAGACAAATGCTTATTTTCAGGGTAGGGGACTGTGAACACGTCATTCAGATCATGTTAGAAGTTGTATTCAGATCATGTTAGAAGTTGTGGCCAGGGGGTGGCAGATAAAAATTAAAAAGTTATGACAGTAGTCATCTGGATGTTCCTTCCCCAGAGTGGCTGAGCTCCCTTCGGGCCCACGTTGTGCGCACTGGCATTGGACGAGCCCGGGCAGAACTCTTTGAGAAGCAGATTGTTCAGCATGGTGGCCAGTTATGCCCTGTCCAGGGCCCAGGTGTCACTCACATTGTGGTGGATGAAGGCATGGACTATGAGCGAGCCCTCCGCCTTCTCAGACTACCCCGGCTGCCCCCAGGTGCTCAGCTGGTGAAGTCAGCCTGGCTGAGCTTGTGCCTTCAGGAGAGGAGGCTGGTGGATGTAGCTGGATTCAGCATCTTCATCCCCAGTAGGTGGGCTGATCCCAGTCTTTTTTTCCAATGTTTTCTAGTAGCATCTTGAGCTCTCTTCTTGAATTATTAAAAATAACTATCATTAATTTAAAAATTAGCCAGGCATGGTGGTATATGCCTGTAGTCCCAGCTATAAGAGGGTTAGGTGGGAGGATTGATTGAGCCAGGGAGGCTGAGGCTGCAGTGAGCCTTGATCATACCACTGTACCCCAGCCTGGGTGATAGAGCAAGACCCTGTCTCAAGAGAAACTCCAAAAACCTCAAAAAACTCATTTTCTTAATTGGACACACTGGGAAACCAAGTATTTCAGAATACATTAGGACTGGGGACAGAAACAGGGTGAGACCTTTGGTGTCTTAACCTCCCATCACCATCCCCACAGGTACTTGGACCAGTCACAGCCCAGCAAGGCAGAGCAGGATGCTTCTCTTCCTCCTGGCACCCATGAGGCCCTGCTTCAGACAGCACTTCCTCCTCCTCCTTCTCCCACCAGGCCTGTGTCTCCTCCCCAAAAGACAAAAGAGGCACCAAACACCCAAGCCCAGGTCAGGAGCCTTCCATCCCTCAGAGCTCCCTTCCGCTAGGAAGCAGATCACAGAAATGGGGAGGGCCTGATGACTGTTCAGAAAGTCCCAGTCCCCGGAGAGAGGAGGACCCCATTGTGAAGCCATATAGCTCTTCCCAACACTCATCACTCCTGCATTCATCTAGGCCGTATCTAACACATACCACTGGGGATCCTAGGGCTAGGCACTGCGGTGAGCCAAAGGGAATGTGGCCCCACACCCGAGGTGATCCAAGTCTGATGCAGAAGGCCCCACCTCATTCTTAGGTCTGACTAGAAGACCCTCCCCCTGAACAAAGAAGATGACCCCCACCTTTAAGGATCCCTTCTCCTGGAGGACAAGAATTTATTGTTTTCTTTTCTTCTCTACCCCAAGCCCATCTCTGATGATGAAGCCAGCGATGGGGAAGGAACCCAGGTTAGCGCAGCTGATCTGGAAGCCCTCATCAGTGGCCACTACCCCGCCTCCCTTGAGGGAGATTGTGATCCTAGCCCAGCCCCTGTGGTCCTGGATAAGTGGGTCTGTGCACAGCCCTCAAGCCAGAAGGCGACCAACCACAACCTCCATATCACAGAGAAGCTGGAAGTTCTGGCCAAAGCCTACAGTGTTCAGGGAGACAAGTGGAGGGCCCTGGGCTATGCCAAGGCCATCAATGCCCTCAAGAGCTTCCATAAGCCTGTCACCTCGTACCAGGTACCCAGGGGCTAGGGTGGGAAGAGGGGTCTTTACTAGCCAGCAGTTAGTGAAGGCACTGTCAGTCACCAGTGCGGTTCAGGTACAGTGGTGAAGATTTTATGGGGTCTAGGACTTGCACAAAAGAAAAAAAAGGAAAATTGATGAAAGCAGATTGGCAAAATCTTGATAGTTGTTGAAGCTGGGAGATGGGTACTTGGGGGTTTGTTATACTGATCTTTCTACTTTTGAATTTTTTAACATAATTAGAAGTTTTTTATTTGTAATTTTGTTTATTTATTTATTTATTTAGTAGAGATGGTGTTTCGCAATGTTACACAGACTGGTCTCGAACTCCTGGGCTCAAGCAATCCACCCTTGGCTCAGCCCTGCAAAGTGCTGGGATTACAGACATGAGCCCCTGTGCCCGGCCTAAAAAGTTGTTTAAAAGAAGTTTAGACTCTGAAGCCTAACAGACCAGGGTTTGAACTCTGGTTCCTGTCATTCACTAACTGTGTGACTCCAGACAAGTTACTTAAACTCTCAAAGCATCAGTTTTCTCATTAGTAAAAAGGGGCTACCATTAAGTGAAATGGTCCCTGTAGCACAGGACCTGACATACAATAAGCCCTCAGTAAATGTTAGCACTTGCTGTTGGAATAATGATGATGGTGATGGTGGTGGTGGTGGTGACTAATATCATCATTATTTTCTACTTCTTACTGCTGGTCTCCATCCTTCTGGGAACCAAAAGACAAATTACCCAGCCCTCATTCTATCCAAAATTCTTATCTTCAACTACACCCAAGCTTTACATAGCCACACAGTTGCCAAGCAGCCAGCGGGGGCTTTTACGCCAGCATCTGCTAGAGGAGTCAGCTTCCTTTCCACTGGCTCTACCACTTCCATCTCTTCACTCTTCTTTCTTGCCTCTGCCTCCTCCTCCTCTAGGAGGCCTGCAGTATCCCTGGGATTGGGAAGCGGATGGCTGAGAAAATCATAGAGATCCTGGAGAGCGGGCATCTGCGAAAGCTGGACCATATCAGTGAGAGTGTGCCTGTCTTGGAGCTCTTCTCCAACATCTGGGGAGCTGGGACCAAGACTGCCCGGATGTGGTACCAACAGGTCACACCCTGACTTAGCCCCTACTTCAGTTTTGCTGTCTCAGAGTTCCTGCCCCAGAGTTCCCTACCCTGTGTTCTGATGGAAATGCACCCACAGTATAGGGAGACCATTTTTCAAGGGGACCAGGACTCATATAGACCCCTCAGCTCCCAGAACAGCCTTGTTGCTTGGTATCTTTAAGAAGGAGTAGACCGGGACAAGAAGTATGTTTCTCTGTCTCCCCAGACCAGCAAGGGCCTTCCTGAGGAGGCCAGGCCTTGACACTGCATGTCTAGAGCAGTGGTTCCCAATCCTGGCTCTGCCCACAATCACCAGGGCAGCTTGGTAAGGATGAAGATGACAAGGCCCATCCTCAGACTGATGGAATCATGAATGAGTATTTTAGGATGGTGGCAGGGCTGGATGATGGCATGTTTCCCATGCCCCCTGCCTTTCCCAAGTCCTGCTGAGTACAGACCCAACCACCCCTAGGTTGGTCCTGCCTCTAGCCTTCCCTAGAGCCTGGGGCGATGGAAGCTTCATGTGTGTGCTCACTCATGCCTCTTCATTGGTCCTGGATCCTCACAGCTCCCCATCTGGCTGCTTTTTTCCAGGGCTTCCGAAGTCTGGAAGACATCCGCAGCCAGGCCTCCCTGACAACCCAGCAGGCCATTGGCCTGAAGCATTACAATGACTTCCTGGAACGCATGCCCAGGGAGGAGGCTACAGAGATTGAGCAGACAGTAAGCGGGTGTCCTAGAGCAGTGAGGACAGCCAGGTCCTGCTCTGAGGTCTTGGGTCAAAGTCAAGAACCCGTGACTCCTCAGCTGGGGAGCGCAGCAGGCAGAGGAAACTGGGTCACCAGAGGTTGATCACAGAGCAAGTTAAGACTGAAGCTCCAGGCCCAGAGGTGGGGTGGGTGGCTTTGGTAGGAAAGAACTGTAACACCAGCCCTCTAGATTCTAGTTCTCAGTAGTCAGGCCTATTAGGCTTGGATTTGATTCTAGACTGATTGGTGTTAGGATTGGGTTAATGTTAGGGTTAGATTACAGGTAGATTATATCTGTATTACTTGAGGTTAGGGTGGGTCAGGGCAGAGGTTTTTAATGTTTTATTTTATTTTATCTTATTTTTTATTTCACCAACTTCTTTGAGAACCTGATGAAAACTGTGGACTCTATTCTCCCCAAAATGCACAAATGTGCAAAGGTTTATGTCTTTTTTCAGATGCATGGACCTTCTAAAGCCCACGCAAGGCTGGCTCAGGATTTGGGGTGGAGTTGGTGTAAAAGCACAGCATCAGTAGGATTTGGTTTGGGGTTGGAAGAAAGCGCCATCAAGATTGAGTTAAGGCCGGGCGCGGTGGCTCAAGCCTGTAATCCCAGCACTTTGGGAGGCCGAGACGGGCGGATCACGAGGTCAGGAGATCGAGACCATCC